GACGTCTGGGCGGGGGAAATTCATGCTGGTATTTGTACTGTCTGCTAATTACAGTCATCCCACTATCCACCCCAACCTCCTTGCTGACACCTTCGCACCCTACTCCGCCACTCCCTCCACGCCCTGTGCCAAAATCCAGACATAGGTGAAGGCTCCGTTATACAGTTCGTTGAATAGGCCGGTTTCTTCTTGGTAGCTTTGCTTGCATCACCGAATTTCTGTATGTATAGTAACAGTTAGAATACTTGTAGACCTACCAGGACATCGGACACATCTTGTGTGTCCTCGAGATGAGTGCATGAAATGCAGCCTCAAATGCGACTTTGTCTTTGATATTCAAGTTTGCCTCCAAGTAGTCTTTCATGGATAAGTTCTTACAGATTAAACAATTAGTGAAAAAATCGATCAAAGCGCAATTTAAATATCGGACAATACTCCGATCGATTCAGTGAGGGCAGAGAGCATGAGGAAGAAATTTTGGACTTATGTGGGGCGAAGGACACCAAGGAGCTGTCAAGGCTTGGAATGGGACCAGAAGCATGATTACGATGGAGAAGTGAGAGATCCTGAAGTGAAAGCGTCGTGAGAAGGCTCCTATAAACATCTCTGCATAAATCATACCTATATACGTTTGACTGGGTTTGAGCATGTATATACGCATGATAGAGCTCCATGTATGCGCGGTTCATGTCGTGCGTGAGATTTTCCAGACACGGGAGCACTGTACGAGATATGTTTGCATGTAAAATTCGTTCACGAAGTGGTCACCTTGAAGTGCATTAGGCTGAGCCAGTTGGGCATGTTCTAAGTCCGCAGTGGACTCAGAATTGTCAGCAAGGCTACCAGGGTCAGGCACACTGAGATTAATGGGAGAGACATGTTGAGGTCTGAGTGGTGTATTGACTAGGGATAGTGTATTCGAAGCAGGAATTGGCATCCGAGCCACGGTTGCGGTAAGCACAGATGACAAAGGTGAGCTCAAATCGTGCTCTTCTCAATATCGAGAGCATACCATTGATGCGGGAATGTGCTGCTTGTGTATGCGAGAGAGAGGCAGGTCCTTAGTGTTTTTCGACATCCACGACATGTTCGGCAGGCTGGGGGTTTTCAGAACCAACGTAGCATCCAGAAATCGTGAAGAGCTTGATTATATCATATCGAATAATAGGCAGCTGTGGACTAACATTCGCCATGGGCATATCATCTCGTCTACGCTTGGTTGGACGAGATTCGAATCCATCTGTGCATCCATCCATCCTACTAGCTCCCTGTGATGTCGGGCGGAGGTCTATATTTGTTGAAGCTTCTCGTACGACAGACGGAGAGGACTGGTATCGTGCGTGGTCATAATACGTGGACTTCGAGACTGCTTTGAGCTGCTTGCAGTACTTCCAGCAATCGCACTTTCAGATCTTGGTTCGCATCGTGACAGTGTACACGGAGAACAAGGAGTGTATGCGCTACTGGGAGATAGTAGTCAGACACTCGAGCGGCCCGACTCAGAGTCCAGCCAACGTCATCGCGCGGTATATTTAGGCGCTCTCCCCCAGTTTCCCTCAAGACATTCGCCACCTCCCACACTGGACTCGACGTACCCCGTTTTCCCTCCAGTCCCCCCGACTGAATTTTAAATGGAATAGTACTGAGATGTTGCATGATAGTCTGCTCGTGGATCCAGGCGATGGCGGACGGGATGCAGATGCACTTCTACAGTACACCCATCTCAGCAGTTCCGAACCATATGCATCGACTCTAGTCGGCGACAGGAGGACGAGGCTATATGTTCAGTGCAGAGTGCAGACCCCATCACAATGTCGCGGAACAGACTCGCACGGGCCCGTAGCCCTGCCATTTCATCCGAGAATTGTTTGGACAAATTCCAAGTGCAGCTGCCCATGACCAATAAGTACAAGTCTACAGCGAACAACATTTCATCGATCCATCCCGTAAGCCTAAATGCTTCAACATGTTATCTCACATGGAGAGCGCAACATCCTCCGGCACTGTCAGGTGAACTTGAGGCCTGGGGCTCTGCCTACGACGCTGTTGCTTATGCAGACATTGTCAATGGACCCTGTAGCGTGCGAGCGACCGCAGTGTTAACCATGATGTGAATCACACTGATAGTTGGCATCACGGTGGTATGAGTAAGTGCATTTCATATTGCACAGTCTACTCAGCTGAGCCTTGAACTCTTTCCCCAGCACCCAGTGGAAAACTGCGAATCACATATTTACAAAAGCTTCACAGCGATACCATTGTAGTCTCTTCAGAATGGACGCGAAACAGCTCTGGGAAACCCACCAGCCCGAGCACGCTGTGCGCAGTTGGCTCGCTCGAGGCTTGCACACTCTGCACCCAGCTCTAGCTGTTTTTCCACAAGTGCGATTCTCTGGTTGCAGTAAAGATGGGCGCTCGCAAGTAGAACTAGTGGTGATTCACCCAACGTCCGGCGGGAGTAAGTGGTGTTTATGCTGTGCGCGTTCTGTTGATCCACTCACTGGCTCCTTTTGTGTTTGATAGAGCGTTTGACGCTGCGCTACACATGGTGTCATAAAGGAAGAGGGAGGTGCATTCTGAACGTACTACGCCATAGTTTTGTACAAGTATAGTCACAACGGGGATGGAGCAAGCAGTAATGCAAGTCTCAACCTTATGCAGTGGGACGAGGTGATTTTCGTCCGTCCATTTTCAAGGTCATTGCGTTACCGTGGGCATGCTGGCTACTTTGCAGATCCATTCGACCACAGCCGATGTTTGTGGATGGCTTCTGGACTAGCGAGCGGGGGCTTACACTAATCAAGCA